CAATGATTTATAAACAAAAGTTTCACAAACTTACAAGCAATATAAAGTCTTCTTTTTAGTCTAGAACTTCTTCAATATCTTATCGAGGGTTCACGATGAGCGAGTTAGTTACGAATTGATGTAGGTATAATTCACTAAACAGGGAGCTAGCTAGCTTTGTCATTCGTTGTTCATCAGCCACACACGCCGAGTTTTCCACGGATGACGTTTGGTAATGTTTCCGTAAAAATACTAATGTCCATTAAGAATCCACTGAAGTTAAATACTTTGTAAATGCTCTTGGTCAAATACCTGAAGTTTTTCGATTGATAATCGTTATTACAATCACAGTTATAGCTTCCGAAGTTTTAGCACACTGACTATAGCAAACTAATAATAGATACTCCTTTTTTGGCGTGTCGTGTTGGTTATATTTATAGGCGTGTGGAGGCTTTCTCGAAATTTCAGTTTTATGTAACAGTTTGTTTGTAATTAAGCACAAAGCTGTACAATGGGCTATCTGTGCTCTGCCCACCACGGGTATCGAAACCATGATTCTAGCGTTGTAAGTTCGCAGACATACCACTGTGCCACTGGGGGCTACGTAACAATACTGACTCTACATTTAAGCGTTTCCGTACATACATGTATTGTTGATTCTTACTTTCGAGAATCTTCTACAACTTTGGAGAATAGGCGGGAGTTTCGCAACACATACTTAAAAGTATAAGCTATGTATGTTTCTAAATATAGATTTAAACTAAACAAACGTTGATATTAAAATAAATATATAATAATAAATTTGCCACAGTAATAACTATTTGTAATAACTGTTATTGTAAATTGTATTGTTGTCTGTATATTAAACATATTTGTATTAAAGAAGAAAACTGTGTGTATTAATCTTGTTGGCAAATATCGTAAATCGGAGATATATCAGCATTTATTTAACTATTAAGTTTAAATTATCGTTTCACTCGATTTCAGACCATTCGAAATTGTAATACGTAATACAGTACTTAACGTATTACGACATAAAATTAAAGAAACTGATAGTGACAAACATAATTTTTGGTTTATGAATAATAATAATGAGATTGCTTTACGTGATTTGGAAAGTATTAAAAGCAGTTATTACAGATCAAACATATCTTACTAATTTACTTTATTTAATGTAACTCCGTTGGAATATACTTTTATTTGTGTATTTGAAGCTTGATATTTAAACTTTACAACAGTTCTGGCGATATTAAGATTTTTTATAGCACAATTTTATTTTCTAGTTTATGTACTTCCAGTGGTAAGTTATAGTTTTATTTCTTTTTGTCATTCTTCATTAGCACTTGCACTCTCACAACTAGATGCAAACAACGAAAAAATGGCAACATGTGATGCCTAGAACAGTCACTGTTGTTTTATGTTGTTTTTTAACAATATGAATTGAAGTTGTGTCTGATAGACGATGTTATGCTTCCTTAAAACCCGAGATGTATATCTTATAATTCCCCAAATTATAAATTTTAACTTGGTGTTATTATTGCTGTATTTCTTTAGGGCTGATTTTTCATAGCTTATATAACCATGATCATCATAGGTTTGGAAGTGCGTGTCTAGACGCTTCCTTTCTCGATGTTTAAATGTTTTACATTGTTTGGTTTTCTATACCAAAATAAATTTTAGTAAGCACTTTTGGTAAGCACATACATACATACATACAAATAGCATTTTAGAGTAGAGCTACGTTTGTGTCTAGGTATCGATTAACCTAGCACTGTTTTACCTGTAAGTTTCTTATTTATGATGTTTAGAGGAGAGAGAGGTACTTAGGGCTTGGGTCTTCATGTATTATGTAACTTTAGTTTGCATTTTTATTCATATTTTTCTTTTAATATTGAAGCAAGCTATCTAGGAGCCTGTCTGATAGTGTTGGCATGTTTGAAAGTTGAGAAGAAATAATGGGTTTGTTTATCATGGGACTCTATATGCTTTCGTTAAAATATAGTTTTGTATTTGCTGTAGTTTGTTGATGTGTGTTTTGACATATTTATACAGACATATCTACAACTGATCTCATGTATGTTCTGTAAATGTTTAATAGGTTTTCTGGTGAAGCTCCTTGTTTGTTGCTAGTCAGACTCCGAAGGTAACTTGCTCTTTTCCAAATTCTTGGTTTGATGCTACTAATGTGTGGTATCCAGTTTAATTTTGAGTCAAATGTAATCCATAAGAATTTTACTGATGTTGCTGCCTGTAAGATAGTCCCGGCGAGATATAACTGTAGTATTAATTTGCTTGTTTTGAACGAATTTGTAAATAACATGACTTGTTTTGTGCACATTGATTTTAATTTTCCACTTAGTACAGTACAATTCTGTTTCGTTTAGCAGTGGTTGTATATTGTATGTTGCGAACTGTGAGCAAAAAAGTGTGTTTGTGTCTTTGAGATGTATGTCGCTGACATACATGATAAATAGGGTAGGACTAAGTATTCCTCCTTGAGGGACACCCGCCTCCAGAGTGCAGCACTCGGAGTAGGTGCCCTCAACATTTACTCTGATATTCCTATCTTCCAGGAAGCTAGAAACCCAGCGGATAATTATTATGGGGAGTCCCAATTTGGACAGTTTGGATCAGAGTCCGTTGTGCCATACTTTATAGAATGCCTTTTCAACATCTAGGAAGGATGCGACTGTACATTGTTTTGTTTTTTTAATAAAGCCGTGTATTATTTCTTTCGTTAATCCTATGAGATGATCTATTGTTTGTCTTGCTTTTCGGAAGCCATTTTGTATTTCCGGGAGTATTAATTTAGTTTCCAGGTAGTTTATGAGTCTATTATTTATATTTTTTTTCAAGTAGTTTTCCTAGATTGCTTGTTAGACATGCCGCTCTGTAGTTTTCGAGGGTATTCGCTGGTTTTCCTTCCTTATGGAACATAAGAACTTCGCCCTGTTTCATCGTTCCTAATTTTGAACTACTGACCAACGGAAAGCGAACCAGCCAGCAGAACCCCACCACCCACTCTGCATATTAAGGGGTTATTTGCACTGCTTAGGGTGGATGGAGAGGATATTTTATGGTATCCCACGGATTTTTAACCCGGCTCGCTCTGCTCCGAAATTCATAGCTCTGCTTTAGCAAAGGACCAACTCCGTGCCGAGGAAATAAATGTGCGTGCGTACGTTAAGTATTTCTTTCAAAAGGAAGAGGTATAAATATGGGTTTCTGGTATTAATAAAATCTGAAATAAACGCTATCTCCTTTTATTTAAAGTGAGCAAACTATTATTTATCTGTTATATCACAAACCCTTTCAGTTTTTTAAGGGTGTTAATTGAGTTCAGTAATAATATACTCGAAACATTTTTCGAAAAGAAAATGCTAGAACATTTATGTAAATAACAATATTTCTTTCTGCTTTTTAAAAAGATAGATAACGTAATACAAATAACATAAAATAATAATAACCCTTAAAAGTCTACTAGTTATTGTTTGTAAAAATTGTTCCAACGAAATACTTAATGTTTCTCATGAAAAAATTCCACTCCTGATTTAAGCTGTTTCTAAAGTTTAAAACCTCGAATTAATTAGCTTTATTTTTGTCCAACTTTTATTTCAGTTAAATCATATGTACACATGATGGAATAATGATAATATTAAATATGTATAGGGGTTGAGTCCGTTTTACTTCACCATAGTGGTTAATAAACACTGTTTTTGGGAGCTGGAAATCTCCATAGTAAGTGTATACGATGGAATGTTGTACTCGAGTATACTGATTGTTATAATGCATTAATTAACGAAGAGGGGCGTTTCGGTATAGGAAGTCGAAACGTCGTCCCTCTCTAGAAACGAGCAGGAGCAATCCATTAAAGCCAAATTCTACTAGTCCAAGATCAGGATTTTCAGACTTTTGTTTTAACTTAAGTAATATAAAATAATATTAATAAAGGTTTGTTAAATGAGTTTTATCTGAGAATACGTGTTTCTCATTTTTAAGCAGCTGGTAATTTATTGTCTTCGCTCAATTTTCAAATCACTGAATGTTCCCTTAAGTACATGAAATAGTGCTTACTCATCTCGATTGGAATTAATAATGTATTTTTCTGTCCTTCCAACATAGTTTTATTACAATTACAGTGACTAACTTTACATATAATAAGTACAATAATATTCACAATGACACATGCTTGTAATATCATGAAAAACATCAATTGGATTTTTAAATAGTACAATAAGAACTTCTAGTCACTATCAAGAGCAACCCTTTATATCTGTCGTTAGGTCGCCAATTCATGGACAAAAAGTCACGTTAATGGAAGCATTGAAGCTCTAGACGTTGGACAGTCAGAAAATGAACACCGCGGAGGCTGGACGAACCAGTTCGACTTCTTTCTTTCTTGCTTGGGGTATGCTGTTGGACTCGGGAACGTCTGGCGGTTTCCGTATCTTTGTTTCAGAAATGGCGGAGGTATGTAATTATATTTTTGACTGTAGATTCAAACTTTAATAAATATAGTTTCTTGCGCTTCCTCTTTTTTTTTTTTTTAATGAGTGAGAGAGCGAGTTAAGTGACGAAATGTAATACACGAATACACATTAAAATGCTATATGTGTTATACTAAGTTCTTAATATATTTTCCTTAATGAAAATACAAAACTCTTAATTTTGCACTATTGTCTGTATCCTAATCACTCGCGTCCCCCAGGGTTGCGCGTCTCATATTTTGGGAAACACTACTGTAGATATAAAAGCAAATACATGAACATCAACCTAACTTTTACTGTAGGAGGAGCAGCGAACATCTGATATTTTAATATTTGTCTAAATAAAGATTCATAAGTTTCCAATATATTTGCCTTAGTATTGTTTCTTGACACTTGTGTATAATATTAAAATAATAAATAACACACAACGTTAAAATATTTTAAGGCCAATATGTGGCTTTCAATGGTTCATTCTACATGCTTCGACGTTACAACGACATCATCAGGAGTGAATTAGAAGACATGGAAGTGTCATGTTTATAATAAACCCGTTTAGAACTAGGTCTTGTGACCTATGCTTTTGGTTTACAATTCCTGCATAACTTTTAGAGGAGATCCCGCCACATTTGTACACAGATATTCGCCCAGACCTTCGTCTCTATTTAGTAATTCATGATATTTTATACTTTTTATTGTTTCCAAGGTTCTACCCAATTTAACGTTTTTGTTGTTAATTATTTTAACATTTATGCGCAAGTGTCAAGAAACGGTACTAGAAACCAGAACCCACAAGTTTGAAAGACAAAGGAGTAAATTAAAAATATGGATATCTCAACTAAATTTTTGATGAGATGTAAAAGAAAGAAGGTTTTCCAAAATTCCAAAATGTATACAAGTGAAGTGTAATATCAAAGGTAAAAAAGTGAATCATCATGTGTAAAACAACAGATAATGTGCATTACGATTCAACAGAAAAGAAGTGTCATAGCCAAACAAGAAAATATGGTATCGACTACATTTAGAAAGGAAATTATGAAGAACGTTGGATTGAATGGAAAAGGTTTACTTGGATGCAGAAAATGGGAGATATTAATAAGTAAATCTATGAATGGAAAAGGTTTACTTGGATGCAGAAAATGGGAGATATTAATAAGTAAATATATGAATTGGATCAGAAATACGGGAAAAATAAATCACAATAAGAAAACTAATTAAATTGGGTAACTTAAGAAATTAATTGATGATAATGAAATGTATAGCAGTTGAAAGAGGATTTAACCCGAATATTGTAAATAAAATAATTAAGAAATTCACCAATGTTGTAATAATGGATCAAAGTATTTTTTTAAACCTAGTTATGGTAAGATTAAAATGGAAAGTTTAATTTTGCCATATGTTTCAGGTTTAACTAGTTTATTTAAAGTATTTTTAAAAACAACAAATAATTTACCCTTATCTTTAAACCGATAAGATAGATCAAATTTAGGTAATACTAAATACAATATACAGTTAATGGAGAAAGCTGAAATTTATAAAAGTGGATGTGAAATATTTTCATTGGACACACAAAAAGTAATCAAAAATATTTCAAACAGAGCATAAGGGGAACAAAAAACATTGATAATGTTACCATAGTAGAACATGTACATAAAGCACAACATACGGCATTATTGAAAAAAAACTGTAATTATTGGCTTGATCAAAAGGTTTTACAGCCAATAGTATTCTTGAGTAAAAATGATGAATTATTATATAGAGACGAAGGTCTGGCGAATATCTGTAAGAATATGGCGTGACCTCCTGTAATAATTATGCTTGAATTGTAAACTAAAACACAGGTCACGTGACCTAACTAAAAAAAAAAAAAAGTATTCTTGATATGCCTCTATCATGTCTTCTAATTTACTCCTGTTGATGTCGAAACAACTAGAATGAATTTTTTTGGAGGCCAGAGATTGCCCTTACTTAAAAATGTTCTTAATTCTGTACCCCTTTTAACGTTGAGTTGTATATTATTTTATATTTAGTTCATTTAATCTTAAAGGATAATGTTTCGTATTTTGTTGTTGTTTTTCTACCAAATGTTTTATAAGATAATTTTATTTATAAACTTAAACTATTTTAGTTTGTCTAAAGTAAAATTTAAAATAAATTTTGTGGTGAGTCAAAAATATTTGAATTGTGTTGTAACTACTGTAAAACTTGGAAGTTTTAACTTTTATCTTTTATCTATAGGGGCATTTCTTGTACCATATGTTTTGATGCTCTCACTATGCGGGTTACCCGTCTTCTTCCTGGAGTTGTCTCTTGGACAATTCCATGGCCAAGGTCCCAATATTGCCTTTCGCCACATGGTACCCATTTTTCACGGTAATATTTCAGTCTTTAGCTCTTGACAAACTCTGTTGCTGTACAGTAACGAGAAAGTAATAAGCTGTATATAATTTGATGTCTATAAATTGATGTGGCATATCCCAGAATCAAGTTTTCACTTGATAAAATTAAAGTTAAACATTTTTTTATGCATTTATCGGGTTGTTTGAATACGATGCAGATTGGTATATAACATTAGTATCTTGTAAAATTCCATAAAATAAACAGTTTTTATTTACTTGTTTTATATTTGAACATTTTATCATTATTATGTGTACATTTGAAAAATAAATATCTTTCTGACCAGCATTTTACCATTCCGTTATATTGATATATATGAATTAAATAACAAAATGACCGTATTTAATCACTGGTTTGGAATTTTCGTGCCTGGTTTACATGCAAAACGTAAATATTTGTATAATTTTTCAACCGAATTTATCGATTTAGGTAATTTCGTTTTCACTTAGTTACTGAAAAGGTGAACGCTAATTCTGCTTTGTTACATAACTTAATTTAACATTGTGTTTATCTGGATTGAAGTAATATTCATTTTGCTATTTAACCAAATAAATGTTCAGCTATACTTACCTCTAAAAGATTATATGTATGATTACCACCCAAAACTTCTGCGTTTCCAAAGAAATTAGTGTTCAACATCAATATTAACACACACATGTTTGAAATCGTAACTCAATTTATCAGTGCTTGCAACAATCTTCTCATTCTAGGAATTGGATATGCAATGCTGATAATCAGTTTTCTTGTGGTCCTTTACTACAATATGATTATCGCCTGGACTCTCTTCTACACTTTCGCATCCTTTACCAGTCAGTTGGGCTGGGAGTTCTGTGGAAACGAGTGGAACACAATGAGTGAGTACTCTGTAACTTTAGATTTCTAGTAGTACATATAAACTAATAGGTTAGCCTAAAGCAAAACATTTATGGATTTTTTTTTTTAATAATTATTGTTATTACAGTAGCTGGCGTTCAAGCACGTGGTTGGTGTTTAGGGTAGACCATCACTGTTGCCTGGCTTATGCTGATTACGCCATTGTTGTCATTGTGGCTGGCCTTTCTGAGTTGAATTAGAGTAGTTTCACTACTCACTGACACGTTTAAGCTTCATTATTTGATATCAAAAATATACAAAAATTTGTTCTGTAATATTCAATGAAGATCATTTAAGCTTTGTATAATATAGATATTTACTGGAGTTGCTGTATTTAAACGCCTTTACATTAATTATGACTGTACTGTTGAAAACTTGATGCTGAATTTTCTTTATCAACTATTAATCATATCTTAACAACATTTTAAAGGTGAAAGATTGAGTTTATTCATTAGGAAACTAGTTTTGGAACCATACTATTACTATTATTATGTTTTCTTAACAGAGTCGGCACTCAATCAGTTCACTAACTTTGGGAATAAACTCAAAATCAAACAGCTACTTTAAAAAAAATGTTTACCCACTTCAAATACTTAATCGTCTTGTATTTAAAAACGATTTATTTTCTGTTTATGATACCAAACTCCGAAAGCTGGAGAAGAAATGAAAGAAATATACTTATTTTCAATTTAACGTTAATTTTACGTAACTTTTTATGTCTGTATTTACTACACAATTTACCATGCTAGATTTGTTTTTACTTTCTTTTCTGTAGCTATTTTATCACTAGTGTTACATTCCATATGGATTACAGCTTGTCGTTTTATTAGTTTAGTGTTATTACTCAGATTGCCATATCAGATAATGTTTATTGTACACTATGTTGACAAGTAAATATAATGTACAAGTAACCTCCGGAAGCGCGTGGTTTTCATTACTTGTATAGCTCATTATCAGCTAAATAATCAAACTTTTTGGAAATGGTTATTTTGGAGGTTATTGGAATATGGCTTCATCACTGACGCAAAACTCGTAAATCCCAGAAAGTACAGGAGGTGGTATTTTTATATTAAACGGTTGGTAACGAGTGCAATAAAGTGGAAAGGACAATATATTTTTGCTATAAAAAATATTATTGTAGTGCACTCAATCTTAAAGCACTAAATGTGAATGAAAATGTTGTATCATAGAATTCAGAATTTGAATTCTTGTCATATAATTGCACTTTGCAAGAACAGCGCTCCAGATCTCGTGTTGCTCTGGAGTTATTATTTCCTCCATCGTCGATCTTGCTTTATTTGATGGCCATGATTGAGTACAACTGCCGAACATGGCAATTGTAACAAGCTTCTAGAAGGACGCTATGACAAAACTTCCTTTATTGTACGTTGATTTCAGTTTCCAAAGCTTCGTTTAGTCGAGAAGAAAAGACAACTTTACAGGTATGTGAAGGAATGGGATATATTTTGTTTTAGTTTGTTTTTTTTTCTTATGAACATGGCTGTTTAGTTTCAAGGTGTCACTGAAATCTTCAGTCATCATCAACCTCAAATTGTTATTCATTATTTTACTGGTCCAAAAAGTATGCTTCATCTCAATTGATTTTCGGATCAGAGGATTCTCTTTCATAGCTATAGCCTTCACTCTGCGGATGAGGGTTTTTCTCCATATTGAGCCAAATGTGTTTATAGAGTTCATTGCTGTCCTAAACGCTTTGTGTGAGAGTTTTCCGTTCCCACAGAGAGTTCGTTGCTGTCCTAAACGCTTTCTGTGTGAGTTTTCCGTTCCCACAGAGAGTTCGTTGCTGTCCTAAACGCTTTCTGTGTGAGTTTTCCGTTCCCACAGAGAGTTCGTTGCTGTCCTTTCACATTGAAAGATCGTTTCTTCGAAATGTTGTGTTCTTTGTCTCTGCATCGTTTAACAGTCTCACCATAAAGAACATTTTTCTTCGAACAAAGTTATGGCATAATGTGTAGCCATAAGATTACCGTGGCGGCATCACACTGTCAAATGATAAGAAATTCGCCATGAATCAAATATAGAGGTGCTAAATATGTCTCCCGTTGCATCATAGCTAGTATCTACGGCGACCCGCTAATGTATTGGGTCATTCAAAATACTTCTTGTGAATTGTGCTTAATTATCTGTTATGATAAGGAATATACTATTTTCATCAGTCTGTAATTGAAAGAATTAGCAGGCATTCATAATAATGATTTGGAAAGTGTTCATATGTTGTTTCAGTGAAACTTAAAGTAGAGTAAATATAGTAGTTTTGAAAACTTTGAGGGATTGTAACAACCTGTTGAAAGAAAATAAGAGATGACGTTTCAGTTGTTATACCGCGGCCTTCTTCAGTATAGAAGCGAAAACTTCGACTCCTTTTCTTTCTTTCAACAAGTTGTTTCAATTCTTTAAAGTTTTCCAACCTACAGTGTTTAAATTATTGATAAGTTGGTCTTATTTGACTAATTTAGTATACAGATATACCAAATAACAGACAACTTTAGAAAATTCATTAAATCCGTAATTAATGCTGTGTCCAAAACTTCTATTGCAGTTGATAATAGCCAAAGGTTCTTGTGAATGAATAATTGACGTTAACTTGCTATTAGAACAATCTACCTAAATAGATTAAAAATGAACATTAAACCAGTAATGAGTACGGCAAATTATATATACTGTTCTTATATAAAGATTAAAATTCATCAGTAAACGAGATTTTCCAGGATGTTACAACGTTGATCAGTACAAAGAATGTCTAAACCAGAACTTGACCTACTGGAACAACACGTGTTACGATGCTGAGGCCTACTGCAACGGAATTAGCAACTTTACATTTGGGAACCTGACCCACTGTATCAACGAAACGGCTCTCTCTCTCAACAAATCAGCGTACGTTCCTGTAGCCAAGGCAACCAAACGAGTATCTCCGAGTGAAGATTATTATTTGTAAGTAACTAATATGTATAATCTGTTTCAAAGTAACTGTTGCTACTTCAGTATATACCTATTTAAAAATGATGATACGAAAATTATAAACGGTAGACTATGTTACATATACAACACTGAAGTTATTCGGAAAGTAACAAGAATGTCTAACACTTTTAAGCCAGCCCATTCCGTGTTGTTGCCCGTAGAACATGTACGACATCAAAATTTGAAAAATTATTTGTGTTGTATTGCAACAAGTTTCCTCCAAAAATAAAATTATAACTTAAATGTTGGTTTTTAAGTTTTCTTTTAATATAAGCTTTATTTATATTTTGTTTTAGATTAAATTAAAAAATCGAAACTTTAGTCCTAAGTGTCGACTTTTAGCCGCTTGTTGGAATTTTTATTTGGATAATGAAAATAAGAATTTTTTTTCTACCGCGCAAGAAAAACGTGTCAACAGACTCCTTGTTTGAACATGGTTAATTCTAAAACATTTCATCTTCTTCTGATATACCATAAAAATGATATTTTGTAAACTTATAATGATTGTCAAAGCTACGATCAGCTTTAGCATGAAACGAATTTGTTCGTTTTTTAGTCGGTTAATAATATTTTCTAATTTTACTTCTTCAGACATTATGTGCTCGGAATTAGTAATTCCTGGGAGGAGTTTGGAGAATTACGATGGCAGCTGGTACTGTGTTTACTGTTGGCCTGGATTATTGTAGGCCTGTGCCTTATTAAAGGTGTTCAGTCCTCAGGAAAGGTATGATAGTCAGTAATCATAAAACATTACTTGCAATACCGTATTTGCCGGTGCATAAGACAATACCATGTATAAACCTAGTTTGTTGGAGCAAATCAAGTGTATTTCTTTGAGGTTCTGTGTATAGGACGACATCTATTGTCAGGCAAGTCTAGGATGTTACTTTTATGAAGAAAGTCTTAGAAGTTATTTTTTAAGACTGTGCTAACATGCGTTCTGGAGTAATCAATACAACCAAAAGTGTTTTTTTTTATATACTCTTCAAACGCTACAGACAGTTCAATTGGTATAACGTAAGTCGCAAACATGTAATAAATGCTTTTATAAAGTTGTTTTCACACAGTTTAACTCCTTTTTTATTAGAAAAAATACAAAACCTTAAGATATATTGATCTACTATTAATATATGTTTACAAAATTAGTGTATGTTAGAAAAACTAACTTTGTTTCATATAATATTAGCAATATTTTAGTATGACAGATGAGATCAATACATTTAAAATCAAAAATACCTTGATTAATTGATAAATAACTTCTAGTTATGAAGAACTGAGAGAAATGATACAATTACAAATATGTTATTGTAACGCAGTAGGTGGCACGATGTCAACGCATTACTCGAAAAACCAAACAAAATAAAAGGAACAACGTATTTTTGGTCAAGTATACTGGAACACTATCTTTGAACCTGTGTATAAGACGAGGGATAAAATCAGCCATTGCTCTAAGAGTAAAGAGTACCGTTTAATACGCCGGCAAATACGGTAGATGCTTGCTCTTTGTGTTTTACTACAATGGAGCATTTTGTTCTGGATTAATTTGCTTGTATTAAAACCCTTTAATAAGAACTTTCTCTTAACTCCTAGCTCGACGAGAATTGATTCTTTTGCTACTGGATTATTTTTCTTAGTTCCACATAGAGTAAATTCTTTTGATTTTTTTTTTCTCGTGTTATATTAGGTTGTTTACTTCACTGCTGTGTTCCATATATAAATAATAAATCCTTTTTAAAATGATGATGCGACTTTGCCTCACTGAAACTTTTCATAAAATAACCCTTTCTTTGCTTTCTCATGAAACAAGTATGTCGATACTTAGTTAAGAACTTGCTAATCTTCATGTAAAGTCGGGTTAACTCGTGAACATAAAATAACCCTTTCTTTGCTTTCTCATGAAACAAGTATGTCGATACTTAGTTAAGAACTTGCTAATCTTCATGTAAAGTCGGGTTAACTCGTGAACATAAAATAACCCTTTCTTTGCTTTCTCATGAAACAAGTATGTCGATACTTAGTTAAGAACTTGCTAATCTTCATGTAAAGTCGGGTTAACTCTTGAACATCTTGATTTTATATACACATTTTACCAAAACAGAAACTATTTTTCTCTCTTGGATCATTTTGCCGTTACTTTGATCATTTTTCTTAATTCCACGTATAGTAAATTCTTTTTTCTCGTGTTATATTAGGTCGTGTACTTCACTGCACTGTTTCCTTATGTCGTGCTAATAATTCTTCTGGTACGAGGAGCAACTTTAGATGGTGCAGCTGATGGTATTTACTTCTATATCGTTCCGAAGTGGGAAAAGTTATTAGAAGCTCAGGTATATAAGTCTTATACACTTTTCTTCTAAACCAATTTAACACTAACTCTTATGGACTTCGTTTTCGTACTTGCATATCGATAACTATAACTTTGTTTTAAACTTATATTACTATTGTGAATATTTCGGTTACCCACGTGGATGTACCAGTGTGGAAGTCTTTCAGCAGTTACTTTTATGGTTACTGATATAAGTGATGTAAAATAATAAACACGACAACAAAAGAATCAATAAAAGCATAAAGGTACCTGTAATATAGCTAGTCAAATATTACATCGCAATGTGTCTTGTTAATAATTTATGAACATTTGTTCATTTGAAATAGTTTAGCCTTCTGAAGCGTGTTTGAATATTTTCTTTTTACTAAGTCGTAAATTAACAAATTTACAAAATGTCAATACAGTCATAACGTCAATCTTAGGTTTGGGGTGACGCTGCCGTACAGATCTTCTATTCGTTAGGTCCAGGTTTCGGTGGTCTGTTAACCCTAGCGAGTTACAACCGTTTTAACAACAACTGTTACAGGTAGTGTTTTATTTTTCTAAGTGATCTTGATCAAAACTGATAAGAGTTGCATATGTTTTGTATTGGGATATTTTTGTTATTTTACTATGTGTTTTTGAAGTATTGACCAGAAAGTCGTGTATAAACATAATCTAGCTGTATGAAGGCAATGTAGACTAAATGTTTTGTTTCGTGTGAGAAAAGGAAACACAAATTAAAGAGAGATTGTGTGCACATATTAAGGTATATTTTATTTTGATTGCTACGTTTAGATCAAGTTCAGTTGTAATGATGTTGGTAAAACTTTACTTGGCGTATGGAAGATTTTGTTGTTGTTTTTTTGTGGTGTTACGAATCTGAATGCATAAAATTTGTAAAATGTAAAGGCAGTGCTATGTATTTAAATGTATTAAAACTAGGTCTTGACTTGTATGAGATTAAATACGTAGAGCTCTGAACGAATCTGTTAGCCGTACGCTTCAGTGACTACGAGGTTAACTTAGATGGGTTAAACCTATTTCACAACAAGTGGTACCAACCAAACACCTCTAGTACAAAAGAAACGTTTTTCCAAATATTTTTCCTTATGCGATACGTAATGCTATCTATACCCACAATTCCCTTACGCATATGGTGACGTCCTCCGTACTTCCCTACTTCTAATTTTATTTTTACATAATTTGATGCGCACGTACACACGTTATTATTTCATTTATATAGATTATTATGGGCCCCACAGCGGCATGTCTGCGGACTTGTACCGCTAGAAATCGGTTTTCGATACCCGTGGTGGGCAGAACATTGTGTAGCTTTATGTTTAACTACAAACAAGCAAACAAATAAGATTATTGCGTAAATTAGCCATCATTTCATTTATAAGTTTGTTTGTTTGTTTGTAATTCAGCACAAAGCAACACAATGGGCAATCTGTGCTCTACCCACCACGGATATCGAAACCCGGATTCTAGCGTTGTAAGTCCGCAGACATACCGCTGTGCCACTGGGGGGGGGGGGGCTATTTGTAAGAAAGCAATTAGTGTAATTATATATACATTTTTTTTTTTTTTTTTTCTTAGCTAATACTGAACATTCGCATCGTTAATTCACTAAATGTTTTACATTTATATGTAACCAAAAGTTCTCTAGTTAATGAAATTGTATGTTTATTAAATTCAGTTAAGCATGGATACGTCTATGATGTGTATTTTGCAGTTTTTGAGATGTTTCATATTTTCGTTTACGTGTCTGAATACTATAACCCTACTTTTTTATATATATTTTTTAAGAGATGCCGTAATCATCGCCATGGCAAATTGTAGCACAAGTGTGTTTGCTGGGTTCGTTATTTTCTCGATCTTGGGATTCATGGCCTTTACACTGAACGTGCCTGTTGAAGAAGTCATTGAATCGGGTAGGTTTTGGTTGTTTTTGAAGTTTTAATAGTCTAACTTGTAGAAATAAACTATCTGAACAGTTTAACATACTTGTGATTTAACTATCTGAACAGTTTAACATCCTTGTGATTTAACTATCTGAACAGTTTAACATCCTTGTGATTTAACTATCTGAACAGTTTAACATCCTTGTGATTTAACTATCTGAACAGTTTAACATCCTTGTGATTTAACTATCTGGATAGTTTAACATCCTTGTGATTTAACTATCTGGACAGTTTTAACATCCTTGTGATTTAACTGTCTGGACAGTTTTAACATCCTCGCGACTTAACTGTCTGGACAGTTTTAACATCCTCGCGACTTAACTGTCTGGACAGTTTTAACATCCTCGCGATTTCTATCCACACATCAATGTATTTCATAATGGGTAAAACTCGCACTAAACTTACTAAAGTGTTTCATCTCACTTCCAAATGTAAAATATCCATGCAATTCAAAGAAAGAGATTTAACTTACTCTCTAATTTCATATCTCAATCAATAGATAATGGTATTCATTTAATCTTTTTTTTTATCTACTTAAACATTATTTTTTTTGCTGCACTACGCGTAGTACCTCAAATATGTTGCTAAACAGTATCGGGTGTAGTATACATTTATCTCGGATGTTAAGCTTGTATAAAGTGATCACTGTCAAGTTTTTTAATTGTCTTTCATTTGTTAATAGCTGTATATAGTTTTGAATATACTTTTTGAGGGACAAGGAATCAGTGATAATACATGAAACAAACAACTAGTTTTTGTGTCTAGTTAAATAAGGTATTTAATATGGTATGTGTGTGAGAGGGATTTGAGGATTATGTATTGACAGTAAACGTTCACAAATATAGTTTGTAAATATAACCTAGGAACTCCAAACAGGGCTACTAATGTAGCGGTATTAGGTGAACGTGGAATGCCATCCTTAGCTATCAAGTATAAGACAAGATGCATTAAGTATTGGCTCAGACTGTATAAAAATGGAAAATTATATATTTCTAATCAGTATGATATGATAAAATGTTTAGGTAAAGGTGGAAGAACAACGCGGGCGAATAGAATTATATGAACTTTTCTATGTGTGAATTCCATTATGTACTGGAAGCATAACAGGTAACGAAGAATAAGTTATAAACGAATTTAAGCGAAGACTTAATATTTATGCGTATTTTAAATTACGTGACTACAAAAACTTCATGAAAAATCAAATTTAAACCAAACTTGGCCATATAAACGTTTGTCTATGCGTATTGTAAACTTGAAAAAGGCGACTTTATCAAAAGTACGCATTTCAAACCATGACTTTGAGTCTTCCTTCAAATTTAGATGTCTCGTAAAGTTGATGTAATTACCACCTTATAAATATAGTGTTACAATATAAAGTGTATGCCTTAACGTTGTATCACATTAAATATTACTTGTTATTGGGTACCTTAAAGTAAAATTGATATATAGAATTAGTATGTATATTGCTAATATACTAAAAATGAAACAAACAAAAAAACTGAACACGTGACCTCAATTAGCACTGTATATAAATAACGTAAACTTATTATGTACTACATAGGTATCGGTATTTAATGTTCCAGGTGACCTGAATCGTCTCAAATCAAGTAAAATGTTATCAAATCATACATTAATTATTGGGTTCAAGTTTACTTCTGAATTATGTAAACAGCTTGATTTGATCAGAAGTTATTAATAACTCTATAATTATAAGTTTTTTGTTGCTGTTTCTATCACGCTATTCATAATAGCGAAATGACACTATTCAATACTTCTGCAAAGAAGATTATTTCTATAGATAAACATGGTAAAGCAGTAAATAATAACGTTGAGGCTTTACGTATGGATTTCTGACAACACAAGCTAAATGGATTACGTAACATTAGAAAGACCAACTTTTTGAAACCTGGGGTTATTCTTATATCTGCTGAACTTCCAGATTAGTTAATAGGAACCTGTTTGGTTAGAGCATATGCTAATTGCTTCTGGTTTTGCAACTTGTCAATCGACCCAAGATCAAATACCGGCTTATATAAATTAGCACATTTTTGAGAATACATTTTTATTTTATGTTTTGCGTCATTGTAAAGTTGTACCCTGTTACTCGTGGGGGCAATGTGATTTAGTGATTAGCTCTGACTGTCACTCCGATTCTTCGTGGTTTGTGATTCGTTGACTCAAGAAAGCTCTCAACACTTGAACAGTATGTGATCTATAAGAGCGACGATCAAATCCTACTATTCGGTCAGACAAAAAATAACCCAAATTCTAAACTAATATATTAAAAAGGAAGGGCTAGTCAACAGCAACCACCACCAGCTCCTCTATAACTATTATCTGACCACCACTCTTGTAATGCTAGGCGAAATGAATCATTTTCTTGTTGCGAATCATGGGTAGGCCTTAATCTTTGAAGATTAAAATATTGGGTTAGTGCTCGGAATGCCTTTCTTTTAATACCAGAAGACCGGCTGTGCTACTGTATGAGTTTTGTAGTTCAATTTGTAAGTATTCATTGTCCATCTTTAGTGAATGTTCCAATTTTGTTTACACACAGACTCGAGCTATTATTTCCTGCAACAGATAAGAGTTTAACTCTTCGCCGTGTACCTAAGGTTAAAACCGTTGTTTTTTGCAACAAGTTAAGACTTAATTTACTTGTCTTACTTAAACGCCAATTTGTTTATGAGTACTGTGAAACAAACTGATTTTATTGCTTTCTTCTTTATATCAATATTTAATTTGTATATTAGATTCCAAGTTATCCCACATAAAAAATATATATATATTTTTCATGACAGGTCAAGGCCTAGCTTTTATAGCTTACCCTGAAGCTGTAACCAAGATGCCCGTGTCGCCACTTTGGGCCTTTCTATTTTTCTTCATGTTGATCACGCTTGGTTTGGATAGTCAGGTGAGTTTTAGTAGTTCCTTTTCTCTCCTATCAATATACATATCAGTTTTTGTTTAAAACTATTATTTCAACCCAGTATAACAGTGAGCGAGTTTTGTCATGATTTTGTATGAGAATAAATTACTAGTTCTTTAATAAATGATAAAATATACTTCACCACACGATGGAAGTGTTAGATTGGATAATTACTTGTCATTCGTAACTTTGGGGTTTCACATACTGTGCGTGTTTCGTACTGATCTTAGCTTCTCTGTGTACTTTTAATATTTTTATATTAGATGTGTGAAATTGATTTCTTCGTAAATGAAGAATCAGTTAAGAATATTTTGGCGAAGGACAAACAATCAATTTGGTTTGAACTGGTATCAGATTTGTTTCGAGATAAAAGTGTTAATTAAACAGTGCTCACTGTAAACAACAGCAACAAATGTCAGTTTTTGTGTTTGTTTCGTCGCTCAGTAAAGTTTTGACATTTTACCAAAAGAGAGGTGAACCTCAAGTTCAAGAACTCATATTTTTACATTAATGAACCGAATCCAACTGACTGAACAAAATTAGGACAAATGAGTTATTCAAAATTTAACTATTCACCGTCAGTTGTCGATAAAGCTTATAAAAGTAGCAAAAAGTTTTGTTATACATAGAATAAGGAGAATATAAAGAAAATAATTATTACTAACTTTCTAAGTTCCTCAAAGTACATTACTCGAAAAATCACCCCTACGGATTTTAAAAACCATATAAAAAATGCAAGGAATCCAATAAATAGTGCAATTTTTAAAATCGTTGACTTGAGCTTGTCATAAAGTTGGAAGTTTGAACGAACTGTGGTTATTCGACAGCAGAATGTGCGTTGTAAAAAAAAATATATAACAAAGGAACGAGCCTTGTTAAGATTAACAAAAGTGGTGAAAATCGCATTTTATTACAGATTTGTTTTATTATTATTTCCATGCCCCGTGAATGCCTCATTAAGAAAAAGGTTATATTAAGAATGACATCAGCTACAGCCCGTTATCACCCGTATAACATTATATAGAAGTGAGAACAATCGGTCAACAGCTTCTCAGTCATTATTGCCTCTACATGCCTTCAGTTAGATACCAAATAAGATTGTTTGTCAGTATAATGATGCTGTGAATAAAATAAAGTTTGTCATCAGAGTTTTAATTTCTTAAAGTTTTATCTTGTTTAACCCAGTCACGCAGAAATTTTAAATGAAGTGGTAGCACGTGCCCAGCGCAATCTCGTTGAAAGTGATAGAAATGTAGAATGTGTAAGAAGATTCACCCAATTGTAAAGACAATAAGCGTGTATTTGTAACTGACGTACAATCTCCTTATTTGATTTCCTGTACTTGTATTTTTACTGACTTCCCATTTGAAGTTATAATTTTATGTAATCTCTAATATTAGCAAGCAACTTAGTTTGGCTTTTTTTATAGTTCACCATGTGTGAGACCCTAGTGACAGCAGTGCAGGACCAGTGGCCCAATCTTCGCAAGTACAAGCATTGGGTTGTTATAGGCACATGTCTTGTCTGTTTCGTTATTGGTTTACCAATGTGCGCAGAAGTAAGTACTTGATCGCTCTATTCACCAAACACTGTGTTAGCGTTTAGTGTTGTTACGAAGTTCTGTTCATACTGTTACAAAAGTAAATATGTTTATCTTAAAAATAGAAGTCTTTCATTAGTACTGCTATAATACGATTTTAAGATATTGCATAGCTACTACTTCGTCTCAGTTTCTCTATAAATGTTATATTAATTTGCCTTGTGATAATTTTCAAAAAATTGCATAATGTACATTTCAATGTACTTTTTATGCCAAGTCATTTGTGTCAGTATTTTCTTATTCTGCTTAAACAGTTCTTGTGAATTTCTAACAGTCTTCACGAATATAAAAGGCTTAATTCACATAGCATGTAGATATCGCAGCTGATCATTCAAGCAAAAATAAGTGTTGTGTTTAAGAGTATAAACTGAAATGAGTTGCATAATAATAATACAAAGTAAATAGGTCTAGTACTATAAATTGAACCAATTGTATATAATATCGGCACGATATAAAAATCATGTAAACATGTACGTAAACTAAAATTCAAAATACCTACTACCATTGGCCGTCTACAGCCAGTTCCAGTTGTAGGTATGGTTGTTATCCCTAAAAGCATTGTTTAAGATTTTAAAAGTAATGGGGTACTAGAAATAATTTGGTAAAAAGCACCCCTTAATGTTATACAGCCAAGTTTTTATATTACGGGCAATTTGATACACTTAAACGCGGTATTTGACGTTTCCGGTATTTCTTAGACAACATATATCTTTTATTTTACGTTTCCGGTATTTCTAGTATATATATATATATATATATATATTCTTAGACAACATATCTTTCAATATATTAATTTGAGAAAAACAAGTGCTTGTATTAATATGATCACATACTACTGAGTTCAAAAATAAAGTCCAATACTTGTTGTTTGTGAAATTGTGTTCTGTATTTCAGGGAGGAGTCTATCTCTTTACCCTTATTGACAGTTATGCTGCTGGTTGGTCTATTCTGGTTCTTGGGCTCCTTGAATGTATTATAATTTCTTGGGTATATGGTAAGTAATAGAACGAAGTGGCATATCCAGGGTGTACGTAACGGAATTTTCTTTAAAATAATAATGTTTTAGATCCATACAATCTGAAGAACCGAGGTTCTAGATTTAGAAGAAAAATTTTAATTCAATCTTGCTAAACTTTCCGTCCGGAATACGTATTATTTGAGAAGCCCAATTGACCAGTTGAATATATCTATTTGTTCATGTACTGTTTTAAATTGTTAAAAAAAAAACACGAAGATTTTTGAGAATTTCATAATAGCAAGATCAAAATGTTTTTCACTGCCATGAACAGATTCTTTATGCCCCCAGTGGCACAGCGGTATGTCTGCGGACTTACAACGCTAGAATCCGGGTTTCGATCCCATGGTAGGCAGAGCACAGATAGCCCATTGTGTAGCTTTATGCTTAATTATAAACAAACAAATAGATTCTTTATAAAATAACTTCTGCTCTCTAACTAAGGAGACCAGTTTCCGGACGATGTTTTTAAAAAAAAAGTAAACTATTGAAAATGTTGTCCTGAAGCTGAAACATTGTGCCGTTCATTAAATCTGGAGTTACTAATTTTGCTAAAAGCGAAAGCCTAAACCAACAAAAAAAAAAAAAAAGAAGAAGAAGAATTTTTTTTTCCATTTTTAACGAACACAGTATTATGTTTTTACCGATTTTCTTGGAGATCAAGATAATTTCTCCGAATGACGTCCACTCGTGGTCTGACGGTATATACCTTTTGAAATATAACAATTTCATTGAGATAACTATTTCACCATCAACAAAATAATTTGACCAAAGATTGTATAATCGCATAAGTTCAACAAAATCTGCTTTTAGTCGTTTATAAAATTCAACAATGAATTATAATTATTTTATGTTTTGGAAGTCCTTAAGACGAGATATTATCAAAAACAGCACAAAGAAATTGAATATGTAAGGTTAGTTAACAGGTTATTACAATCATCTAAAAAGAAATATCTAGCTTTACTCGCATTTTAGTTTAGATTTTTTTATACATATGTGAAAACCTTAATTTTGTATTAAACTAATAAATAAAAATCACCAAAATGTGTTTAATTTTTTTATTTCCTGAGCCGGATGAGATTCTATGGTTCGTGTCCCATTAGCACACTATATATTATATATATAGTCTCAAAAAGAGTAGCCCAAGAGTTGGCGGTGGGTGATTAACTGCCTTCCCTTTAGTCTATCAATTACATTAAAAACGACTAGCTCTTGTAGCTTTGCGTGAAATCTAACTAACAGATTGTACACTTGAAAACGTAGTACCAAACATTGACTTCTTAGTGTGTCATCAAAAAACACTATTCATAATATCCTTATCAAGTAGAACGAATTTTTGTTTCAGTACTTTGTATGGCTACTGAATAATGAGAGATTCTTCCTCCCGAATATTCCTTCAACATTACAATTCATTTGAACTGTTTGTTGGCGTCTATCAAAGTCGTATGAGCGGTGTAATATTCTGTGATTGAACATTCGTTAGTACTCCTGATCTGTTTCAGAAAACTAAATTACTTCTTATTCTTTTACGGCATGGTTTAAACATTTTACAAATTGTATTGGCATTTTTAAAATAGTGTTAGTAAAATCAAATAGTATTTTGTTTGCCATATCTCTGGTTAAAACAGATGTTTTCCTTTTTGTAGGTATTAATAGATATTGTGATGACATTGCTCAGATGATTGGATTTAAACCAAACATTTATTGGCGGGTTTCTTGGACTGTAACGACCCCATTGATAATGTTGGTAAGTCTGTTCTTCACAAATTGTAAATTAGTTAAACTTTAGTAAGCTCACCAAAGCTATTCAACTACATGTACCAGTTAAATGTGCAGCATATCAAAAGTATTCAACTACATGTACCAGTTAAATGTGCAGCATATCAAAAGTATTCAACTACATGTACCAGTTAAATGTGCAGCATATCAAAGGTATTCAACTACATGTACCAGTTAAATGTGCAGCATATTCTCTCAGAACTTCAAGTAAGTCAGGTTATCCGATCGTTTCGGGCTTGGTTTTTGTATCCCAGTTTTATCTAATAAAGCAATCATATTGTACTATTTTCAAATCAGTCGTCTTTGTTAAGTAAGGTATTTTGTATGTGATTTGACCTAGATATTAACGTTTGATCAAAGCACGCTACGTCCATAGATCAGAACTAAAGCCATATATTTGATTATCTTTGCTAAATACTATACATAATGTCAGTACGTTTGGTGTTTTGATAAGGCTTAACATGTACGGAACAAGTTTAGTCTTTTGGTTGACAAATTATAAGTCATTCTTCCTCCTTTAGAAATTTTTACTCTACATTGACACTGGGTCTGGCCGATCCACTTCCTGTTTTTCCAATAGTTTGTCTCCAAATCCTTACTCTACACTGACACTGGTTCTGTCCGATCCAATCCCCCGGTTTTCCAACAGTTTGGCTCCAAATCCTTACTCTACACTGACACTGGTTCTAGCCGATCCAATCCCCGGTTTTCCAACAGTTTGGCTCCAAATCCTTACTCTACATTGACACTGGCTCTGGCCGATCCAATCCCCCGGTTTTCCAATAGTTTGTCTCGTAAACACTCGGATTAAATTAAGAAATCCCTGCGTATTTTATATATATGCAGATTTTGTTAAACAAGACCGATGTCTGTAGGTTTACTTTCTTCTTAGAATTCTTCTCAAGCAAGAAGTCGATAAGCCGTCTTAACGTTGCTAGAACAACGGGTAAAAGTTGTA